TTTTGGGTGTCCACAAGCCCACTATTTCAAGAGTCGGTGAAAATGGAGAGGGAAAGGTTTTGGATGCCCATCATCCCGCCGTTTTTAGAGTCGGCAAATGTGGGAACATTTTCTGTATATAAATCTATATATGTATGTATAGTTTTGCGGCTCTTGCTTGGGACGTCATAGCGGATTTTCCACCCTATAGTTGTAGATAAGACTTTGAATGGAAATCATGCATTGAACATTTTTGGTTTTTAAAAGAGAAAATATGGATTTTATCCTAACAAGTGTATGGCATGATCATATGCATCTCGATTATTTATATATCTTGTTAATAGTATTTCCTACTAGGCATTAGCTCACCCCAACTAAAACCATTTCAAGAATTGATGGTGTGACTCCGCATAAGTGACAAGGCGGTGATGATTTTGAATAGAGCACATGGGCTCATTAGATGTTATTTATTGAAGCTCCAGAGCTAATATGTGTTGAGACTGAATGTCCATCATTTTGTGTAACCAAGGGGTTGCCCTTGAAACTTGTACGCCATTAGGGCATCTTTACTTTTGATTTCTTTAATTTTGTGAACTATAACTTGTATTGTGAGCATAAAATGTAATAGTTTAATGGGTAAACTACCAATAGGTCCTAATAGATAAACTTAATTCTCATCAAGTCCTATTGAAATAAGTCTTGGTAAAATCGTCACTAAAAATAATTTTTTTTTGTGACGATTTTTATATATGTCTCTAAAAATTGACAATTAATGACTTTTTGTTCCCATGGTTTTCATAAATTGTCATTAAAACTTACAATTAGTGACGTTTTTTCGTAACCAAAATTTTGAATTGTCGCTAAAAGTTGTAAATTAATGACACCTTTTGTGATGATTTTTTTAAACTGTCACTAAAACTTATAATTAGTGACATTTTTTGTGACAAAATTTTCATATTGTTGCTAAAAATTAACAATTAGTGACATTTTTTAATAGTGTCTAATGAAAAATGTCATCAATTATCATAGGACCTGTTGGACAATAAATTCACTTATTAGGACGTACACATAAGTCCCCCTAGTTTAATATAGTTTAAATGAGAATGAGATTTACTTAATAAAAGATAATATTTTTTCTTAAAGAATTATCTTACGAGAGATGGATTTATTTGATGGAAACTGGTGAATATTTAATAAAAATTGACCATATAAGGGTTTATAAACTTTTTGGTGTTACATGGGTGAATCACGTGCCTCCATTTATGTCTTCGAATAATTCTCAACAATAGGGTAGAACTACTAGAGAACTACCCACACTCTTCACAATACCAAGGCATGGTTCTGTATTTCTATGAAGAAAGAAAAGAGCGAAAAATGAGAGAGAGACTAGCAGGTTTCCCATACGGTTAAATTAGTCTCAACTATATAATACGTTTATTATAATGGGAGTGTTACCCACAACTCTATCTCCTATAAAAAGATGAGATAATTGGCCATTCACACTTATCCCCAAGATAAGTTAATCCAACCCCACTTTAACTAGATCTCTAGTTATGTGTCTTGGGTCATACCACCATAGGGGACCCAATCGAGTATGGGTTCTAAACCCGATGTAATTTACAACAGTTAGAAAAAAAATAAAAGAACGTTCCATACCTCACAAATCAAGTCGCCAAGGAAACGCAAAAAAAAAACTTGGGTTTTCCTGACTACCTTCTATAGAATGCGCTCTTTTTCGTGTAATGTGATCAATGTTTTGAGAGGATGGAATAACTTCCATTGCACTATCATTGTTGACATTAATATTGGTTAAGGTGCCTAAATTCTCTTAGACTCACTCCCTTGATGTGTCACTATCCTTTTCATAAATCACTTGGACAACATTTGAACTTGCACAGATGGACATGGGAAAATTTGATTTGGCTTTGTGACATCCCTCCTCTCTTGTGTTATTCTTTCCTTCAACTCCTCTCCACCAGCTAGCCACCCCGCACACTCCCCAACCACCAACAACCGTATCCATCAACTCTACAACTTCTCTATAAAAAATAAGTAATGTTAGAGATCTCAAAAAAATTATCAAATATTTTACTCAATACTCACATGAATGAAAGACCCACATCACATGGAACTCACACCCATATGATTATTGCACAAAATATTTAGTAATTCATTTAAAATTTCTAGCATTTTTTATCCAATATATATATATATATTGAAAAAGGAGACTATTGTCAATGATGTTATATTAATTGTTAAATTCTATCACATATTCAATTATTGGCAGTATACTAAAGCTTCCTTTAACTAAAGACTATTTATATTATTTTAGCATAAAGAAAGTATATTTTATATAGATTTATTATAAGTTACTCCAATAGTGTATAGTATAACGCAAGTGTTCCATTAGTGTACCAATATTTTCGTAATATTTCTTTTAATTACCCATCAACCATCATTTACTAACTAGTAATTCAAGTCAAAATTACAAAAATACATAAAAATTGCATTAAATCAAAAAAGGCTCCCATCAAAATTGAATTTTATTGAGTGTGCTATTTTAGCAAAAATATCTTCTTTATGCAATTGATATCAATGGCCCGAGGTTCCATGTTGGTGGGGATTTTATTTGTTCTTAATAAATTAGTGAACTTTTTCTTGTTGTTGGATTGATATGTTATAACAAATTAGGAGAAAGCCTATTTTTTTTTTCTTTTTTTGAACACAGAAAGCCTATTTGTTAATGGATGAAAAGTCCACATTTATAGGGTCATATGTTATTTGTTCAAAGGTTTAATATTTTTTTATGATAAGGGCACCGAAAAATTGGCCGAAAAAATCACTGAGAAGTTCCAGCAGTTGCTAGTGATGAGGTGGACAAATATGTAACATTGGACAGATAGGTGACACGTATTTAAATATGTGACATTTTGATAGATAAGTAGACAAATAGATAACACGTGTACAAATAAGTGTCCTTTTAGATATATCACTGTTCTTTTAACCCAAAAATATTTAAATTTGAGTCTATTGACCTAAAAATTTCCAAAATAAATCTCTTACTGAAATACCTAAAAAATAAATTCGATCTAGATTTATGCTTATCTAATTTGGTACTGTTGCTTGAGCCAGCCCAATAGGATCCCAAGGCACTAAGTCTCATTGGCATCTCCAACCACATGGTGTTAAAAATGAATGATTATTTGGTGGTTTTGGAGTATTGCTCCATATCATTTATCTCCTGATACTTGTCAAATTGTTCTAAAAAATTTAACAAAAAGTACTGATTTCCACTATTTTAACTAATAAATATCAAGTTGAAATACCACATGACAATACCCCATTAGCAAAAATATTTCTCGTTAAAAATGGGGGCTAGAGTGGGTAGACTTTCACATCATTTTCCTTAATTTGAAGTATGGGAATTTGCTTCCAGCTAGGGATGAAATACTGTATACTCTATGGTCATGTTTGTTTGGGTGGATATGAGCTTGGGATTGGACTAATAATCCAATAAAATTATTAATCCGATGTTGGGTTAAACAATTGAAGTAGGGACTAACTATTTTAAACTTGATTATTAGTTAAGATAGGATACATAATCCAATGAATTCGTAGTCCTAAGACTATTAATCATGAGAATACTAATCCAGTCCGCCCAAACAAACATGACCGATATTGTGTTGGTTTTGGAATTGTTTCTGACATTTGAAATTCCCAAAATAAGATACATAGTTTTTGATTTTTGGTTGGAAAGCCTGCTAAAAAATCTTGCCACTAAAAGCAACCTGTGGAAAATGAAAGGTCAGTGCCTTCAGCATCTTGTAAATTTTGTGATTTTGTCAATGTGAAACTTTTTGTACATTTGCATATTGGGTTGTGACACTGTTGTTGTATGAAGCATGAGTAATTGACCTGTTTGAATTATGTTAGAGAAGTTAACACATTCTAAGGATGCGAGATACATAAATTATCCTGTAAATCCGGCCTATATTCTGTGTGGCCTACCCTTTTATGTGTATTTGATCATGTAACAAACTAATTATGGGTGTTATAACACAACCACTTGATAGATTAGACTTAACAAATAATTTTACAAGTAGATGAGTAAAGAATCTTCCGTGACAATTTTTTTGTTTCTTTTGTTCCCATTTTTTTTTTTTTTTATATTTTTTCTATTATATAGGAGCAGAAAGATGGATTGTATGGTAGAGAATCATTTTGATTCGGAGAGAGTGGAATAAAGGAAAGAGCGAGCCCAATTTTGAAGGGTTTTCGTCTCCTTGTATTTCTACTACTAAGTAGTACTTTATGCATGTGAATGTGTAGGAACTTGGGCTTTTCATTTAGTTAAGTGACATGATAGATAGGGTTCCGTTTGCGTTCATCCTTCTTGAAAGCATCATTTGCCGAAGCAAACATAATGAAAAACTCGTCGGTCCACAAATATGAGATCATGTGGCATTTTCTATCACGAGTTACTGATTTAGAAAGGTTCAAATGGAACAAATGAGAATCACTTGGTCGATGAGGTCAAATATGAGATCGATCCCGCCACACCACATCAGACCACACCACACCCCATTTTAAACTCTATTAATCAGTGTCACTACACCTAATATTTATCAAAGATTGATCTTGCAATAAGGTAGCAAACTAGGCATGCAAATACAGGCATAACCACCCAATATTTATTTCTGAAGATCAATTTACAGGCACAAAGAAAACAATGTTTATCTTTTCTAGTATCTAATAAAGTGTTTTGAATAAAGCCTTTGAATATAAGGGAAATTGCAAATAAGTAAAATAGTCTCAAAATAATTGCACTATAGGTGTAATCTTTTTTTGTGCAATCTGACACATACTTGCACCAAATACAGGAAAAACTTGCACCACCATAAAAATGAGATTATTTTCCCATTGTCAAACTGAAATGCAATTTACCCTTTAATATATCATTGAGGTTAGCCAAAAACAATGCACTTTATTAGGAGATTAAGCATTCAAATCTCTGTACTTAGGTGTAAATCGTATTCTCGTACTTTTATTTGAGGTTTTTATCTCACTTTGAGAGTTTGTTTATATGAAATATGAGCTATATTTGATTTTTATTTTATAAATCAAAGTAATTACACAAAATGGTTATTGAAACTATATACACACACAGCTTTACCTTTCACAAGTATAAATTTGTATTGCATTGGTAATTCACTCCTCTTCAGTCTTCTGTACAAGCTTCAAGAAACTGCCTTATTTTGAGTAGTTCATTCTCCGTAAGGTAAGGATCATCGCTCATCAACCTCTTCCACAAGGCTGCAGAAATGCTATTTGGATCACTATCGAAGACCTGCATAAAAACACCACAAAAAAACAAAACAAAAGAAGAAGAAGAAGAAGAAAAGTGAGTCACAAAACTAGTGGAGGCACCATTGAGGATAGGGGATGACCTAGTTACATGAACTATTCTAAATGTAAGAAGTATTTATGTGATGTGCTCAACATTTGGATGAAGTATGGGATATGTATCTGACATGTACTAGTTGAACATTCACACAGCCAACATCTTTAGTAATTCGAGTTTATCAAAAAAAAACTATGCATAGGCCCCCTTAAATGTTTTGACACATTTTAACTTGGGAAATAAAACAAATATATGTTGGAATGCTAAGAAGCACGGACACTTCTAAGAAGGTGACGTATTCGTGTCGTATCCGTGTCGGACACCGATACTCTTTGGACACTCTCAGGACACGTGTCCGACACTCTTCAAAACGTGTCCTATTTTTTAAATTTTTTTAAAGACTTGGACAATCTTTGGACACTTGAAGGACATACGTGTCCATCGCTTAAATACAAGTGTCTAACGATTAGACATATGTGAAATTAATTATAAGTTTGAACAAAACAACTTAAGATACAATAATAAAACAAAAACTATATAAATTTATAGGAATTAGTGTCATATTGTATTTTTTATTATCTTTTTAATGATATATTCATATATATAACATATAATAAATATATAAAATTACATATTTCATGCGTGTCCCTCACGTGTCGTGTCCTACATTTTTTGAAAATTAACGTGTCAACGTGTCTGTGTCGTACTCGTGTCGTGTCACGTGTCCGTGTCCATGCTTCTTAGTTGGAATGTGTCCCACATTACTTGAAGCTGCCCTATATGTGCTGGTTATAAAGCTCCAGTTTTCTCTCCTTAATACTTGAGTTTTAAGGATAAGTGTGGGCTGGGCTTTTCAATTTGGTATTAGAGCTTAGCGGGGTCTGTAACTAGTGTGTTATTTGCCCGGTTACTGTATCTTGTAGTCTAGGAGGGTGTGTTGGAATGTGTCCCACATCGCCTGGAGTTGCCCCATCTACACTGATTATAAGGTTCCAGTTTCCCTCTCCTAATACCTGGATTTTAAGAAGTGTGGGCTGAGCTTTTCAATTTGGCTGTTTGTCCGGCTACTGTATGTTATGGTCTAGGAGGGTGCATTGGAATTTGTCTCACATCGTCTGGGGTTGCACCATCTGTACTGATTATAAGGCTCCAATTTCCCTCTCTTTAATACCTGAGTTTTAAGAAGTGTGGACTGCGCTTTTCAATTTGGTATCAGAGTTTGGTTGGGCCTATGACTAGTACGCCGTTTGTCCAGCTATTGTATGTTGTGGTCCAGGTGAGTGTGTCAGAATGTGCCCCACATCGCTTGAAATTGCCCCATCTGTGCTGGCATATCGCCTGCGCTAGTTATAAGGCTTTAGTTTCTCTCTCCTTAATACCTGAGTTTTAAGAAGTGTGTGCTGGGCTTTCAACTATATATACATTAAGAAATATGACTATTTTGCTATTGGATATGAAAACTAGATGAATTAGACACTTAAACATGTACCTGCACCCAACACCCATACGTCAGGTAAAGTACAAGTCAATGTAACATCGGTGATGTGATGATAAAAAAACTACTTCACAGTGCAATTTCATCATGAAGACAGCGTAATTGATACAAACTTCCTAAGGTAAAGTTTGCCATATTGGCTAACGGGTACACCACCACGGTGTACATTCTCTCACAAACATGTAGAGCTCACCTTTATGGGATCCATATGTTTGAGAGAGAGAGAGAGTGGTACACCATGGTAGTGTTCCCATTACATAAGAGTATCACCCTACGAAAACCAAAAAGGCAGCAAAAGCCCTTCTGTGGGAATGAAAATTGGGCATCTGTAAACCAGCCAAGGGGAATTTCAAGAAAAGACTCTTCGGCGGCCACGGGAAGTTGAATTTTTCTTCTGCAAGATGTAACAGAGCTCCCATTTCCTCCTTCAATATCCAACTTATAAAACTCCTCATGAATGAAATTACAGAAAAAGCAAATAATTTATGATGGTAGCCATGGCTAACAGAAAAAAAAGTAATGTCTTGGTATCAATTAGCAATAGTAACTTCTGTGGGAAGCTAAGCCTTACCTCAACATAGTTGTTGACATGGCCGTCTTTGTTGGCAGGAGTTACAAGCTCATAACTATTGCAAGTCCATTCACCATCAATAATATACTTGTATTCATAGCGTCCTTCCTGTGAATGATGAGCTGGTTAGGAGAGTCTGGTCACTTTTTAGTGGAAGTTTTGAAGATATAAATAATCACATTACCTCTCTCTCCAACAACTTAAGCTTTTAAATGAATCGGTCATTAACTATTTCGTCGCTCTCTTTAGGTAAGAGAATGACAACTTATAGACCGTGGCTTGGCGCAACATGTATTTCTATTAGTATTAAATTCATAAATGTTGGAGTTCATAGTACAGTTACCATTATCCTGTTTTGTGGTGATGAGTGAGACTTGTGTGTTCCTGGGAAAAGGACTTCTGTTCATTTGTTAGGGTCTCAAAGAGGGGTAAAAACATAGATTTCTTGAATATCAATAGAAAAGAGATGTAACACCAGTTCCTTTGGAAAAGGTAAGATCTCTCACATAAGATCTTGTTAGTGACAAGATGAAAATAGTATAATGCATTGGCTAAATAAATAACATAGGCAGCATTGCTTCAAAAAAATGGTAAGGGGCATCATTTTAAGTCAGGGGGACTTGATTTATCAATGGGCGTTGAATACACTAAATACAAGATAGGTTTAAATTTTAATCTTAATTGAGAATTTTTTTTGATAAATAATCTTAATTGAGTAGTTCATTATTAAATTTTCAACATAAAAGTTTTGTTTTAAATATTTCAGCATTATTAATTTAGTACATAATTTTCAGTTTTATTAAAATCCCGTTTTTCAAGAATGCATTAAGAACCTCAATATATATTTTGTGTTTCTAATGGATTCTCTTTTGTATTTTACTAAGAAGCACGGACACTTCTAAGAAGGTGACGTATCCGTGTCGTGTCCGTGTCGGACACCGACACTCTTTGGACACTCTTAGGACACGTGTCCGATACTCTTCAAAACGTGTCCTATTTTTTAAATATTTTTAAAGACCCGGACACTCTTTGGACACTTGAAGGACACACGTGTCAATTGTTTAAACACATGTGTCTATTGATTATACATATGTGAAACTAATTATAAGTTTGAACAAAACAACTTAAGATACAATAATAAAACAAAAACCATATAAATTTATAGGAATTAGTGCTATATTGCATTTTTTATTATCTTTGAATGATATATTCATATATATAACATGTAATAAATATATAAAATTATATATTTCATGTGTGTCCTCCACATGTCGTGTCCTGCATTTTTTTAAAATTAACGTGTCGGCGTGTCCGTGTCGTATTCGTGTCGTGTCACGTGTCCGTGTCCATGCTTCTTAGGATGGTAGCCATGGCTAACAGAAAAAAAAGTCATGTCTTGGTATCAATTAGCAATAGTAACTTCTGTGGGAAGCTAAGCCTTACCTCGACATAGTTGTTGACATGGCCGTCTTTGTTGGCAGGAGTTACAAGCTCATAACTATTGCAAGTCCATTCACCATCAATGATATACTTGTATTCATAGCGTCCTTCCTGTGAATGATGAGCTGGTTAGGAGAGTCTGGTCACTTGTTAGTGGAAGTTTTGAAGATATAAATAATCACATTACCTTTCTCTCCAACAACTTAAGCTTTTAAATGAATCGGTGATTAACTATTTCGTCGATCTCTTTAGGTAAGAGAATGACAACTTATAGACCATGGCTTGGCGCAACATGTATTTCTATTAGTATTAAATTCATAAATGTTGGAGTTCATAGTACAGTTACCATTATCCTTGTGGTGATGAGTGAGTCTTGTGTGTTCCTGGGAAAAGGACTTCTATTCATTTGTTAGGGTCTCGAAGAGGGGTAAAAACATAGATTTCTTGAATATCAATAGAAAAGAGACGTAACACCAGTTCCTTTGGAAAAGGTAAGATCTCTCACATAAGATCTTGTTAGTGACAAGATGAAAATAGTATAATGCATTGGCTAAATAAATAACATAGGCAGCATTGCTTCAAAAAAATGCAACCAGGAGTTTTTTTTCTTTTTTTTTTTTTGCTATTTTCTTTTTATCTAAAGGGATGGTTTGTAATTCTTGGAAGGTATAAAACGTAGCAAGCTATTTCATAGACTAGATATTTGTGGTCTTCCAGAAAATCTTGACATTTTGAAGATTAAATATCTTGGCTGTAAGAGCGGTCTTCCAGAAAATCTTGACATTTTGAAGATTAAATATCTTGGCTGTAAGAGCAAAAGAAAGGATTCTACTAGAACAAAACAACTTTTGATACTATCTTTCACTTTAACTCTTGAAAAAATTATCCTTCCCACTTATGTTATTTTTATTTATTTATTTATTTTTGAATATTATAACAAACAAAGAGGGTTGTGAAGTTTTCAAAAATGATATATGTAATAAAATTGTTGAGAGTAAAATGTTGAAGAAAACATTCATAGGTATTGAAGGTAATGAATATTTTACTACCACCTTCTAAGGACCACAATATTGTAGCAGTAATTGAAAGTTTAAAATAAATGAAATACAATTACCAGCATTTTCCTCTGAAGAATCCACAAACATTGTTCGTTATCGTATTTCAAAGGCATTCTCTGGAAAGTGTCAGGAGAAATTGTTAGGTCAGTCAGTTTTGAAGCATGAAATCATAAACTCGACACGAAAACTATTGAGTTCAATAAAGGAATTGCTCAGCAGAGGGCAGACTACTGACACATAGAAAAATGCATTTTTTCATGCTTTTCTGAACGAAATTGTTAGTTCAGCTATAACATAACACCACTTGGTGGTTCCACCACATTCATGTTCAACATGAAAGTTTTACAATATAGGGTTCTGCTCATTAAGACTCAGGGTTATATTGGTGAAACCAAGTATGTAAAACCAACCAAAATAACAAGGTTCAGACTTGGATACACTTGGGACTTGATTGTGACAAAGGGGTTTAAAAAAATATCACCCATATTGGATCTTCAAGAGAGTCCAATGGCAAGTATCCTAACATGTGGAGTAGCAAGATAGCATATTGATCGTTAACACAAGGTATTGAAAATCTTTCTGAGATACTTTTTGAAGTGTGTGAGCCCATAAATAGGAATGTAAAATTTCCAAAATGAATTGCCAATAAATGGAGGAATCCAAACCAGCTAAGAATTTTAGAAATATATGCAAGATATTGATTAAAAAGATATCAAAACTCAAATGTTTAGATACATGTGGAGGCCCACTGTAACTACAATCAATCTACTTAATTGTTGAATATAGAGAAGCTTAATTCATAAGTTATTCATACCAAACTCTAAATGCCATATGGTATTGATATACATTGTTGGAAAAGCTTCAACTTTTTCCTCCACTAAGGATGTATCTAAACAAATATTGTATCTAACGCCTACTATGCTAATGCAACTTACGGACTCGTTCAAAACAGCCCTTAACACATGCATCGAGCAACCAGTTAAAAAAACTAGTATAACAATATTGTCTTAAATCTCTAGCAGTTTTACCAGCTGTAGGAACAAGAAATCACATCGTCTACAACGACCATGATCACGCTAAGCAAGCATTAGAGTAGAATCTATATATATATATATATCAGTTGACCCAACACAGTGAAAGATTCTTTTTGATACATAACATCAATAGCATAGAAACAAAGTAGTATTAGAAGCTGAAGAAACTTGATTACCTGACCCCAACCAATATCAAGTCCAGAGACTTCCACAGTGGAACAATTGCTACCCTTCCATGTCAAAGTGACGAGCCTTTTTCTCAGGCCTGTAAGCTTTAATTTTGATTTTTTATAAAAAGATGTTTAGAAAAGTAGAGAGGAGATGTTGATTGATGTGATCCAAAAAAGATAAAAAGATAGACTAAAATAGGTTATACCAAACAAGCCTCAAGTTAAATCATGAAGATAGTCTTTCAGAAATACCAGAATTACATCATCGAAATACCAAAAACAAGCATGAACTATTTAAATAGGGCTAGACAGAAAGAAGAGAACCAGAAAGCAACGCAAAAATGGAAAAGCAACTCAAGATATTTATTTTTATAAACCTCTACTTTCTAATAGGGCAGTGAATATATTTTTTCTGGCTTACTTTTTTTCCTTCTATATTTTGACTTGGACATTGAGTTACTTTGGCAGATACTCAATAAAGGCAGTAAATTGCTTGTGACAACCTTGACCTTTGAATCTCCATCACTATACTATAACCTTCAAATATCTTATACTTAAATCCAATACCTTAACAATCTCCACTAATGCAACAAGTGGTGAGTCTATGATGGATGAACAAATGAAACAATAACTAGGGGAGATGAAGTCATCATGAAGTGGAGTATTAGTCATAAAAAGATTTCTCATATTTGAATCAAAAGACATCCAATTGTGGTGTAAATTTCACAGGAAGTTTATTATTAATTTATTTATTCATTCAGTTTGTTTGTTTGTTTTTTTTTTTTAAATATATTGTTAAAAACGTGAAACGTTCCTATCTAAAAAGAAAAAAAAAAATCATATGTTAGGAGGATTCAAACCAAGGTCTTTTATTTAGGGAGTAACCGATGGGCCGGTAGGGGTATCCCCTCAGACTACAAAGTCTAAAATCAATAATTTTAAAAAAGCATCAGTAAGACGTAAAGTTATTTTATTCAACTTATACATCTATATCTGATTTTTGGGTTTTTCAGGGACTGCTTCAGAAATGTTTGGAGGTACTTGGAACATCCCAATGCTAGCCAAGAACATAGACCACAAAAGATGCATAACGGTAAACCAATATGAAACTCCATCCCCCCCTCTCTCTCACTCTCTCCCTCATGCAACTAGACTCCTGATCTAACTGACTTCTCTTTCAAACTCAACGTTTCTTTATCTATTATATAGGTATATATTGACAAAACAAAGCTTTCCTTGACAAGTTTCTAATATTGACCAAACAATGGAAAATTTGAGGAAAATAATTTCTGCCAAATATTTTTCTAGAAAATAAAAATAAAAATCTTCCCAGCTTGAAAGAGGGACAAATATTAAAAATGAAAGAATTTCCAAAGGGAGGGTGGGTAGATATAAAGAATTTCCAAATAATAGTTTATAGCTTTTGCCTCACTTTGGCAAATAAGAGCTGGATCAAAGTCCAAGAAGTTGTTGTCCAATACTTTTCTAATGTTTTGGAATTCTAAACTAAACAACTAAACTAACTTACCCAATTTCTTGAGATTTACATTTTTCCTCCTCATTCTCTGATGAAACAAACACAACCATAGCAATTACACTCCAGCTCAAGCACTTTAATCTATCATGTAGTAACATCAACACACAATTTGGCAATATCTATCCAGAATTTTCCCCAAGTTAGGAAGAAAAACATGATAAAGTTTAAATGTTAAATAATTTATCCAGATGAAAATGGTGCCCTGTATAAAAAAATAAAAAATAAAAAATAAAAAAATAAAATAAATCTGACCACAGAACTGCAATAAAACAAATTACAAAACAACACATTCATAAAATGAGTGTAGTTGAGATGATAATAATGTTTAGATAGATGTAAGGTAAGACCAAGAAAAACAAAATTAAAAAATGAATATATATGTGAAATGGCAGATGAAAGTGTTAGGGGAAAAGGCAGACCTAGATTGACGTGAGCTAATGTAGTAAATAGATATATGAATCTTCTGAATTTGACTAACCAAATGGCCGTTGATAGAGTCAAGTGGAGAAGAAGGATTCATGTAGCTTGGTTTGGTTTGGTTGTGTGAAATGGTAGTAGTAAAAATTGAACATGAGTTGAGAGAGAACAGGCAAACTAAGATATGTAGATCCAATAGCCAAGAACTAGGAAGCATGAACACTTCAATATGATGTTGTATAGGATATTGATGTGTCATTGACATGCATGTCCACATGTCAAACACACCACATGGCGTGTCAATTTTTTTAATCATTATTTTTTACAGGACACGTTGGGGACACTTTATGGACACATATGTATCTTGTGTTTGAACCCATCTCACAACCCCTTTGTGGATTTTTAAAATAATTTTATAAAGATAATTCAAAGTAAAACATATAAAAGGGGGAAGAGTGAAGAAAAAGAATTGAAAATACACCCACATAAACATTGATGTCTCTTATATCTCTATGCCCTTAATTTATATCCATATACATAACAAATAAACATATATGTCATATTGTATTACCATCGTGTTCCGTATTCTAATTGGTGTCTCATGTCTGTGGACAGTGCTTCTTAGGTCAAGAAGAGTGATATGATTACTGAAAATAAAAATTTTAGGGAGACGAATGACCTAAGTTGATATGAAATGTAGCAGCAAAAAATGGATATGAAATTATTCCTAATTTCCCCTAGCATATAGAGCGCATGTAAAAAAAGATTCATGTAGCCGACCCCTCTTGATTGGGATGCTTAATTTAATTTGGTAAGTAAGATGAGACTTCAATTTTTCTCAAAGACAGACAAATGAAGCATTTGTAACATAGGTTGTGAATGTATCGAAAAATTGACTATTACGGAACTAATGCTAAGAGATTTGGACACAAAATTTAGATATAAATTTCCACACAATAAAGGGGAATTCTGATAACTAGTCTCTTTTTGTACCTTTTTTTTTTAATCCAAAAATAAAGAAACAATTTTGAGCATTAAAAAAAAAAAAATTGATCATTGGGTTCAAATACACAAGTATAAGAATTTTAGCACATTATTTGGCAAACATGTCTTAGTCCAAGAAAGTTATTAATATATTCATCTTGAGATAAAAGTATTATTCATCTTGAGATAAAGTATTATTCATCTTGAGAAACATAGGTAAGCTGCATAGGCTCTTTAAGAAATAAAGTAGTTAAACAAAATTTTCAGACACATGAAAGGAAACTATAATTTTTAGTCTTCTTAACTAAATTACTATGTAATGCTACACTAAGAGAAAACTCACAATATCAGCAGTTGCACTTTTTATGGCATCCAGTTTTGGGCAGCACAAACGCTTGCTCTGCAAGGAAAAAGAATAACATTGAGTTACTTCACAGATGTTTAAACCCTTAGCCCTAATTCTTTGCTCATCATTCTCATAATTTCTAGTAACAATGAACTTATCCAAAAACAATTTCCCTCACATTATTGAAAAAAGCTTCTAACACATTACTAGAAATCTTTTAAACAATTAGAAACTGCTTGAGAAGCAAGGACACAACTAAGGAGGAGCCTTGGACACTTCTTGGATGCTCCTGGGCAAGTGGTTACCTGTGACAACCAACCTTTCATGCATAATGCATATCATGACATTCGTGTATTTTATGTTATGTTAAGTGCTACTTGTTTGAACTAGAGCTTGATAAGAATTATAAGAGAAGAGGAGGCTAAGTTAAGAAAGTTATGCTTAAGACTAGATTGTTTTGTGCCTTAAGTTAGTGGATGACTTAGACCTTGATTTAAAAACCATAGGATGTACCTATGCCGTAAGTGAGGAGCTTAAAGACCTTAGTCTAATGTGCTTGTCCACTTCATGCTATTTGCTATTTTGCTAATTAAGATTAGTGATAATTAACTATGATTAGTGAACTTAATTAGGATTAATTAAGTTAAGTATATTTAGGATAAGATTAGATTTCTTAGTCCTAAACCTAGTTAATTAAGCTAAAGCAAGGAAACCAATTAATCAACCGTACAAATTTTGCCCCACCTTACTCAATAAAACCCTAGGTAATCAGACAAACAAAAGGAGTTGCTGGAGAAATCAAGAACAAGCGGGAGAAAAGGAGAGCAAAGGGGAGAAATAGAGAAAGAAGAGAGAAAAGAAGGGAAGCTCGAAGATTTTACCAAAACTCAACTCTTAGCAAATCTAAGGTAGGTTTTCTATCCAAAATCTTGTAGTAACCCATCCCTAACATCTAAAATCAAGAAGAAACTAGGATTGATTTGGTTTTGAAATGAAGAAATTTGGAAAAGAATGAAGGAAGCTAAGTTCGGAAAAAAAACTAGGTAGGTAGGTTAAGATTTCATTATCTTGATTGAAGATTTGATGTTCTCGATGCATATAGACCTTCATCATCATGTGTTCCTTTGATTTTCATTAGATTTGCAGCTTAGAATCAAGTTTTGAAAGGAAGGAAAAGAAAGATTCATGGCAATATAGGTTTTTCTCAATTCTTGTTAAATTTCACAAGTTTGATCTTGATTCTTGAATTTAAATCATGTTTTGATGTTTTGGATTTGGAAAACAACTTTATCTTCATGTTTCCCATTAAATTTACAAGGTTTATGTTAAGTTTTTAAGGACCCTAGCTCAAGAACATGAAAAGGAAAGAGGTTAGGAATGCTGAATTTTTGAACAGCATCACAATTCCCAGAACCACGTGTGGTGGAAGTTCCCACACCTGCGGCGAGCTTGCCCTGTTCTCGATTTGAATTCTGAAAAAATTGCACCTGGCGGCCACACCTGCCTTGGCCCTTCCGCACGTGCGGTTTTGGTTCCGCACGCGCGGAACATCCTTATTTCATATACAGTTTTGTTTTGCAACCCTCTTTTATTTGGGACCCTTCTTTTATGCATTTGACACTAGTTAAGACTTGAACTTGACCTAGAACAATACTAAACACTTAGAAGAATTTAAGAAAGCATTAAGCAACGTTTAAGTATTCGGTTTGTTAAAGCTTATTCGAATTAGGTTTGTACTTCAATGTTATGTTATTGTTTGATGTAGGTCAAGCTTGGAAGAAGGAAACCCCTTGTCTAACCAAGCCGTTTGTGAGTGGTGATTTAGTAATGCTATGTTTAATCAAATATGTTTTCAATGCAAACCCTGATTGTGTTTACAAACTTTGTTATGTTTTGCTATGAATGAACATTCTATATTCTTTTATTATGTATTTAGATGGCATTCATAGCTCAAGCCCACAATTGGAGGAACATCCAATCATGTATGACGGCCAAGCTCATTTTATAACGTTTAGCCAGTACCCAGGCCGGTTAAACACCTTGTAATCCTTGAAATGGTCATCAAGTCAAGCTATGTTTTGTCTTGTATAAGTTAATGTGTATTTTGAAGGAATGTTTAAAGCTTTCAATGTTCATTCATTTACTGCCTTACTTTATTACTATTCACTGGGCAATGACTCATCCCTCTCCCTTATATGTATGTAGGTGAAGAAGAACAAGGACACAAGGAAGAGTCGCACTAGAACCCTTTTGCTTTTATTTTGTCTTTTGGGAAGTTGTAACCTTGAAACCACAGTTTTGTTCATATGGTTTGGTTTTTGTAGGGACGTCTTTTGATGTTGTACTCTTTTCTTTTGTTGCTTGAACAAGTAAATATCAAGGCAAATAAATAAGAAGTATGTTTGATTTGTTTCCATTCTTATTTATGCACTTGCTCTGGATGGACTTTGATTAATATAATGAACAGGTTATTCTGCATAAGCCCCAAAGTTGTAGTTCAGTCTTGTCTTGTCTTACCAGACCTTGGTAGTCAAACACTACTGGCCGGTCATAGCTACTATCCTGTTTGGGGCAGAATGGGGTCGTGACATTACCTCATCTTGATGTGACCATATTTAGAAGTAAAATCCACATTTTTCAAAACATTACAAAGACACTTCGTGGACACTCCCTAAGATGTGCCCAAAAAACCTTTGGGAATTAGATATTGACCTACCCTATTTGGTTTAGTTTTCAAAATCCATTTTTTTTCTTTTTCTTTTTCTTTTTTTTCTTCCCTTAAACTAAAAACTAGTTTGGTGAAAAAATGATAAAAATAAAATAAACTCATCATCTTCATATAGGGTCCTCTTTTTTGGGGGGACAAAATAGGTTTTGAATATTTTTTTTATTTTTATTTTTTTTTCGGTGGGGGGTGTTTTATTAAGGACTTGGTTCTTTTAGAAAGGAGTGAAGTGAGAAGAGGATTCATGATTATGAATGTTCATATACATAGAGATACAAAATATGTTGATACATGCATATTCATGTGATGAGTAATTTCCTTCCTTGGATCCAAGTATCCTATTATTTAGAGCACAAGGTTGTGTTCCCTCATTGCATTGACATGTCAAAGTCCAAGCCATGAAATTAGCCAATATTAAATCAATAATTTTTTGTCAAATAGAAGAGTTTGGTTATAGGACCACAAATACATAAATTTCAACAATTTCAAACATAATCATATATAATATTTAACAAAACAGGCATGTCAAATTTAAACAAACAGCTGTAATGCATATGTATGAAGTGACATTCATTCAAAAGAACAAGACAAATAAGAAACAGAATTACCAATAGTAAACTATGGCCATCACTTAACTTGTAGCCATCAAACCAAAACATGTGTGCCAACTGCAGTTCATAACAAATTTTCAGCAAGTTATTTGACGAGAGGAAAATCAAGCAGTATGCCACATTATGGAACATTCGTCACATTTGTGCATAAGGATGCCAGTTTAAACTAGTACGTTTTCACAGTAAAGTTCATCTTGTCTAATGAACAAAAACAAAAATCATAACCCCCAAAATCTTTAGCACTGACACAATATTATTACTGCACTCAGTATATAGTAGTGTTTACATTTCATTGGTATATGATATCAGTTTTGTGTCAAAGATGAGAAAGAGAAACAACATTTCTATGTTGTATTATTATATTTATAATAGACGGTCAAAGCAAGCTGAATGAGGGCATAGTGACAAGTAATCAAAAACCCTCCTCAACCAATTCATCTGGTAAGACACAGTCAGTGATGCTAGCAAAGAAAAGAAAACCTATCAAGCTGCAAAGCAAAGGCAGATCGTGCAGAAGATAATATAGCATCCAGATTAGGCTACTCCCACCAAGAATCGTATTAAGGTACCATTTAAGAGAGAGAGAGAGATAAATGGTAATCACATCAATTCACATACACTCACGAAACCACTCAGCTAAAATTTGAAAAGGACATACAACTCACATTAGTTCATATTTTCAATTCCTGATTCTAACTCACATTACAGTTCTTTTGGAGAAATATGCAAAATTGTTGGGTGTCTGACATTGATAAGAAAAAAAAGCGTATAGTTTTCTAGATCAGTAATTGTCTCAAAAGATTAAGTAGTTAGAAAATGGGCTCAGCAATACACATCAAGCGCACACTCCTCTTCAGGCACAACAACATCTTGACAAATAGACTGGAACAAGGTGCACGTGTATAGGCAGAACAGTATGCAAAACTTCAATGCAGTACCTCTTGAAACCAAAGCTCTGATACCATTTTAGATTATCAATTGTTCTAGAAAGCTTAAGCTATTAGGAAATTGGTCCGACAATGTACACCAAGCTAACAATAGTTTCTATACGGGAAAAAATTTAGATGCAAGTGTAGTTGGCCATTAAGAGTGAACCATTAGTGTGCCACATTTGCAATTCAAGCCGACATTTGTGGGGCTCAATGTTAAAGCCAAGACTTATATAAGTGAGCAAAATGTCCACACTGCTTCCTCTTAATGGTCAACTACATCACCAAGTTGTACCTAAAAAATTGTACCAAAGATTTCTTCATTTTTCCTTTCAATGTAATACAACAGAAAAAATAAATGCACATAGACATACAAGTATGAGTACGTTTAGCAAGCTTTTAAGTTGGATTGTTTGGATTATAGCTTTAAAAAATTTAGCAGAGGTGTTTGACACAACTTTTTACATTCAACTTATATAGCTTAGCTTTTTCTAAGCTTCCCAAGGTGTGCTTTTCTAGCTTAACTTTTTTAGCTTTCGGACATTGGACAAAAAGACCCTCTCAAGATTTTCACAATTATGGGCATATCCCTTTAACTAAGAAGCATAGAAGCAAATGCAAACGCAGCCACAGACTCGGCACACAATGATTTCAAAAAAATAGAGACACAGATATAAAGGGGAGCATAGCAATAATTTATATGTATTTTCTATGTAGATTACATCCACAAATAACCAAAATTAACAAAAAACTAGCACTAAATTAATATAATTAAAAATACCCCACTCTTAATTATTTAAATCTAAGTAAAAAATAATAAACATTTAATATCGAACCAAAAACACTAAAGAATAAGGGGAAAAAACTAGTTGGCATGTCCCCTAAAAAATAGTTAATTAAACAGCATGTCCCCACATGGTCCTCGTGTCTAACACTACTAAAGCACCAAGCACAACACATGTTTTGAAGTGGCGGTGCTTCATAACCTTTTAAAAAGGGGTTAGGTTTAAAAGGTTATGGGCAATTTGGACTTTACACTTCAAAAAACTACTTTTTTGGATTATTTGCTGAACATTTTTAGATTTTTTCACATGTTATCCAAAAGTTGCACCAAACATTTTCGCAACTTATTCTAAACAATTTAAGCCAATAATCTTAAAAGCTAATTAAAAGTTTTGCCAAATGGGGTATACTGGAGTTTACTGTCTAGTAGATTGTCCAAGGATCCGCTCGACCCAACAAAACCAACCGGAATGACCCAATAATGCAAGCAACGGATGGTTTTGCACATCATTTTGCTCGGCTGTGGATTTTAAAATAAGAAGAAATCGAGTGTCAAATTTGTTAATGGTACCACCCAAGTAACCTAAACCGTCCAAACATTATTACCTAAGAAGTACGGATACTTCTAAAAAGGTGGCGTGTCCGTATCAAACACTGTCAGATACTTCCAAACACGTGTCCAACACTCATCTAAACGTGTCTTATTTTTTTAAGAAAAAATTAGACTCGGATACTTGAAGGACACATTTGTCCATTGCTTAAACACACATGTTCATTGTTTAAACACACCCGAAACTAATTATAAATTTGAACAAAATAACTTAAAATACGATGATAAAAGAAACCTAACGTAAATTTATAGAAATTAGTGTTATATTGCATTTATTTATTGTCTTGGAATGATATATTCATATATATAACATATAATAAATATATAAAATTATATATTTTGTGTGTCTCCCACCTGTTGTGTCCTGCATTTTTTTAAAATTATCATGTCGGCATGTCCATATCATATTCGTGTCGTGTCACATGTCCATGTTCATACTTCTTAGATTATTACTACTGCCATTAGCTTAACACATGTTTTGTCCTATTGGTTGGAGAACCTTATCTTTTTTATCAGGAAGAAGATACGCACATCGAAAAATCTAATCACCGAAATCACCGACCCCTCACAAATGTTCACATCTATAAATACAAACATAACATTATGTCCGCATCTATAGTTGCGAACATTCGTGAGAAGTCTGTGATTTCGGAAATTGAATATTCTAGTATTTATAACAGTGTTGTTTTGATCAACCAACTATCAGTTATTACACCTTCATTGTCTCTTGAGATCTGAGAAGCCATAGCTTCTTTGTTTTCTTCAATCTTCACAAACAACCAAACATCAAATTTCAATCCTCTCTCTCTCTCTCTCACAGTTGCGAACCGTTTTCTTTTTTTCAAGACCGTTTTTCAATTCTCTACCCTTTTCTCTCTCTGTCTCAATCTATCCTTTTCAACCCCAAACCTTACGAAGAAACCACGGATCCACCTAGGGTTTTCTTACAAGATGGTGATCTCCTTCATGTGATGGTGAGGCAATGGCGATTGTGGTAGATCGATGGCAGTGGCGCTAATTCATGGTGGCAGCAATGCTGCTCAATAGTAGTGGTGGCATTGAACGAGGACAAGACTCCTCTCTCTCTCTTCCACTGCACTATCTCAAGTCTGTATGCATGTTTCAATCACATATTTAAATCGGTTTGTTTGTGAGTTTAAGTTGTTAACAAGTTGTAATGTGAGATTATTTGAATCACAATATGACAAAGGGGGAGTGGATTGAGTTTGGATTGACAGCCAAACTGAATCATTTCTCTCAGTAAATTTCGAAATACAGGTCTGTCAGCAGTAGGTGAACATTTTATCAACCTGATCTATTCAATTCGGTTGGAGGATTGAGGACAAACCCAACCTGAACCGACCAGTGAACACCCCTACTATCTGGAATGCCAAAAATTAATGGTCACCAATTGTTCCCAAAAGCTTAAGCTAATAGGAAATGGGCCCAACAATGTAAATCAAGCTAATAATAGTTTTTACATGGGAAGACTCCAATACAATTCTTAAAGTGCAAGTGGTACAGGTTACCATTTAGAACAAGTTATGTGGATATCTTGCCCACATTAGTTTTGGCTTTAATACTGAGCCCCATGAATGTCAGCTTGAATTGCATATGTGACATACTAATGGCATACTCTTAGAAGCCACCTACACCACTTGCACCTAAAAAATTGTACCAAAGCTTCCTTTCCAAGTCATACAACAGAAAAATAACTGCACCCACACATTGTAAGTCACCTTATGGGAAAGAGCTAAGGACAAAAGGTCATAAATAAAAGATAGCATTCAGGTTATATCAAATTTTGTTGCCAATGATCTTAATATGCATAACCCAATAAATCTTGTCAGGTTCACATAAAATATTTATTATAGGGTTTCTTCAAATGAGGCCACACTTGTGGACCAAAATTTTTAAAAGTATTGTCTATAATTCCTAAGTCCAAGCATCAACGCAAAAGTCAAACTATTACAGTCAAAATATAAGAAGTGAAAATTAGTTGTCTTGAAAACGACAACAAAGAGTAAAGGAAAAAGGCAGCCTTTGTAAGGATGATTTCACAAAAAAGCATTGTCTCTATTCCCAAGTCCAGGCACCTACACTAAAGCCAAACTATTACGGGTTCAATCTTTTATATTCTAGAGAGCCAAAATATAAGAGGTGAAGATTGGCATGTCTTGAAAATGACAATAAACAGTAAAGAAAAACAAAAGCCTTTGTAAGAATGACTTCACAGAAACAACTAGTAAAATAAGAAAAATGCTTGGGAGCACTAATTAGTGCTCCCACTAATTAGGTGGCAGTGGGTCCCGTCATTAATGATGTGATGTTTTGGTCTTGAAGTTGTATTTTTTTTTTTTTTTTTTACTTTTTTAATGCATTAGTGCTATTAGTGGTGATGTTTTTAGTGGGATGAATCATTGTTGGTAAAATAATGCCCAAGTGATTTTTTTTTTTTTATAACTGGGTGTCCTTGCCAGCTTACGCGCACCATGACTAAATCCCAGGGCCCTAAAGTTAACGACCGGGCAAACCTTCAATGGCCCCAAGACTTGGGATGTTTGGCCTTTGTGGGTTTTTGAACATGCAACGTCTTGGGTGGTAAGCCCTTTGGTTGCTTTCTCCGTCCACTAAGCCAAACCCCTTGGGGTTTAATGCCTAAGTGATTATAATAGCAAACAAGGACAAGGAAAATGGCATGAACGATCTTGCACGGCCTCCATAACATGACAAAACCAAAGAAGAATATAGCCATTGGTCATTAAGCATGAGATCTGACCCACAAATGATACTTAGACAGCTATACATACTGCAACTGCAGGAGCTCTTCCTAGTCCTGCTGTACAATGTATATAAGTTACACCACCATTGCGACTAATGGCCTTGTGTAATTTGCTCACCACAGCTGGAAGCTGCATCCGCAAATCAAATGCATCAAAGTCCCTGCTACAGTAAAGATTAGTTTGCAACATAAAGAGTAGAACTGCTCTATGGGGGCAGTACATATGGCAGCAGCCAAATCAATGACCTTGATATGATAAAGAAAAGCTGAATCACAGATTAATTCTATTTGATGTTTTTTGTGTCATCTTTAGATTCTGATGTAGGTCATGTGCTTGGCATGTGACTAGTAGTGGTGGTTAATTGATTAGCTTATATCATGAGAAGTAGTAACCATTTTGCAACCAACTTTGACGATATGACATTTAATTGAATAGATATATTCTCTCTAGACCTCTCTCTCTCTCAAAGTTTCTCTCTCTCTTGTGCTTGGACCCAATCAGATTCTTCAATACAGTAGTTCAAGTGAACTGGGTAGATAATATCATCAAGGGACAGCAGCTCAACAATTAACATGGAATTATTTTGTACTCTAACACAGCAAATTCACACAAGGAAGCTTAAAAACCCTCTTTGCAACTGCTCTCCTATACCGCGAATCATAAATAAAATTCTAAATGCTATAATGTTCATAACAATGTCATTGTTTGATGCAAGACAAATAGGGACAGTGCTGGATTTTCAAAACAGAGGTTATTTGATGTCCTAAACAGTGAGTAATTTATGGTTTCAAGAGTAAATTGAAGGCTAATAGGTAGGGGAAGGGATTAGGGATGATCTGAGAGTGATTGAATGGAGTTTTGAGGTTGAAAAATGCACATTTAGACGGCTGTAAATAGTAATCTGGCAATAGCAAATTGAAACATAAAAGAAAGGAGAAGAAGAAGATAGGTCTAGGCATCTCACCTAGATTTCATAGGCATCACAACTAGGGTTTGATTGCATCACACAATCTATAAAGAAATTTCAAAGCTCTTTAACTTTTTATAAAATATCAACTCTCTTTCAAATTATAAGCATTATATGGCTTTATATAGGACTAGGAGACTTCTTAAACCAACTAGAACTAAAATAGGCAACTACCAAAATATTTTTGACTTTCAAAACTAATTTAAGACTAAATAATAAACATAAATAAAACATAATTAAATAACTTGACCAACACGACGACCCATGGGCAACCCATACAACCCATGTCAGTAAATATAAAATTATCAAAATAGCTCTCGCCTAAAAATCCTAGAAAACCTAAAAATAATCATAAAATAGAACTGTAATAATATTAAAAACATGATTATGTATGGTTCTTATCGATTTCTCTTTGAAACCATTCCTATTTCCAAATTTTCGCTTCCTTGAATTTACTCTTCCTCGAGCTTCTTATATTCTTCATCATTCTCCCTTGGTTGGAAAAAACTCAATCTCGAGTTTTGAAGTGTCCAAGTATAAGAATCCAAAAGCATCGGAATCGCACCCAAGTCTCCATATAAAAATGTTTAAGTTGACATCGCCTTTTCTTCTCCATTGGGGATAGTAAGGAGAACAATGAACTACTTTCAATTGCAAGGTTAAACTTTTCCGGAATGATAAAATCAATAGAAGAAAGAGATACATCCTTGAATTGGTCTAAACCTTGTGTTGCAAAATTTTTCCCATACATCCTAATATCTTTTGGATTGATGGCGCTCTGATTTTACTCGATTCGAATAGTTCCTGTCATATCAGCCATTTTGGCCTCCATGTTCTTACCTTGCCCTTCAAACAAAATATCATCATGTGATTCAACCTTGCCCTTTTCTTCAATGGAATCATGACTTGTCACTGAGTGGGACATGATATATTGATTTAAATTTGACTCATATTTTGCAAGGTTAAGCAATTTAGTCTCTTGTATATGACCTGAAGTATGCTCAATGTTATGCACAGGTGGGGGCTCATCATAGGACTGTATTGGCACCAAATTGGAGAATTCTGATAGCAACTTTTCAACCTCCGACTTCAAAGGCCCTTTTGGCTCAGGACTTGTAGTTGGTGGCTTTAGTTCTTGAGTCCTTACAATTGTTGTTGCATCCAATTCATTGCTTTGGACTTTAGTCTCTTTGGGAATAATAATTGGAACTTGTTGGGGTGCTTCTGAATCATGAATAAGGGCCTCACCACCTTGGGCAGATTTTGATCTTGGTCCTCTAATCCTACCTTGGAACACAGAGTTGTGAGTAAAAACCTTCTTCAACCTTGATATTATTTGGGGTGATTTTGATTCATCAATCAAACTCTCTTTATCCTTGATAATTTGAGTGTTTATCACCTTGTCCTGAGTTGGTCGTCTCTCCAAAGCATTAAGCCGTTGACTAAAATTATCAAGTTGTTCCACAATTTTTGAAAGAACTTGATCCCTTCGCTTCTCACAAAATTTCCCTGCGACAAAAGATCTTTCACAACGAATTGACATGTTTTATAACTTGCTCTAATAATAGGATCTTTTGCTCTGATACCAAACTGATGCAGGACGATTAGGGTTCAAGAATTGAAGAAAGAAAGAAAGCAAGAAAAAGAAAAGAAAAAGATAGAAAGAAAGAAAGGAGAAGAAGAAGATAGGTCTAGGGTTTGATTGCATCATACTTAGGGTTTGATTGCATCACACAATCTATAAAGAAACTTCAAAGCTCTTTAACTTTTTTATAAAATATCTACTCTCTTTCAAATTATAAGCATTACATGGCTTTATATAGGACTAGGACTAAAATAAAAAATTACCAAAATATCTTTGACTTCCAAAACTATTTTAAGACTAAATAAGAAACATATATAAAACCTAATTAAATAACTTGACCCACACGACAACCCATGGGCGACCCATACAATCCATGTCAGTAAATATAAAATTATCAAAATACCCCTCGCCTAAAAATCCTAGAAAACATAAAAATAATCATAAAATAGAACTATAATAATATTAGAAACGTGATTATGTATGGTTCCTATCGATTTCTCTTTGAAACCATTCCAATTTCCAAATTTTCGCTTCTTTGAATTTACTCTTCCTCGAGCTTCTTATATTCTTCATCATTGTTCATCTAACATAATAGGCCAAATGACAAAAAACAAATTAAGGTGTATGAATAAACACAAAGGCAACCACTCTTCCACAGTAATAAATAAATAAAAAACACCCCACAAAATAAAACTTATTTATCTTAAAAAATCACAACATTGGCTTAACTAACCTTATTTCAGCACGCAAGTGTTGAATGTCATCATATGTGTCGGCATATTCACGAATGCCAGTGATATCAACCCCAAAATATCTTAAAATAACAGTAAAGGACTTAAATAGAATGTGCATCTCCTGAAGGCAATCTTGATAGAATTTGCCTCATACCTCAACAGTTAAATATAACAATCTCTTACATTCCCATATAAGTAGCTGCAAGAAATAGCGATTAAATCTTTTCTGAACATAAATTAAAGTGTGAAGAAGATATAATTGTCTGGGATACTCAAGATCTGAATCTTGTTGCAAGCAAAAAATAGTTTTCACTCCTATACTTCGGAGCTTGTCAACATCATAAGGAGTCTGCCATTTTCAATAAAATTCGAAGTTAAGAGATCGTTGAGAAAAGAACAGTATACATTACATTCATTCACTAAAAGTAGAAATAGGATCACCTGTAGGCATGACCCCACAATCAGATCTGGACGAATGAAGTTGTAGTTCATTCCCAGTTCGTGCTTATATGTCAAGACTGTATTAAAAGAATAGACAAGAAAAGGTAAGCCAAAACTACGTACACCAGGATTTACAAGAGAATGTCTCAATAACCAAGAACAGAGAAAACCCTGGGTAGAATCCCACATATCAACTGGCTAGCTTTTTTGTTGAATTAATCAATGTACTAAATTCTAAGTACTGTTGTCATATTTAGCTAAAAGATTTGACAGTTCAGAATTTATTCCCAATGAATCGCCTGCTAAGCTTCTCCACATGCATAAACCTAAACTAACAGTGCAAGTAAACTTACCAGCACCCATAGCTTCAGTCATATTGTGACTATAAATTTCGGATTTTTCCTCCTCAGCATCAGCATTTTCCATCTCGGTGCTGGATGTAGAACTAGAAACTGCCTGAAGAAAATAAAAATATATTTGCATGTATGTATATTTATACATATAAACCATCTATTACATGAAAGAGTAGAAAATAATATGTGGGATCAATGATTAGTCTTTCTCTTGTTCTCGATAAATAAAGTAATATTTATTGAAGAAAACAATGCCAAGGAAGCACCGGCAATTTGTATGTCAAGCGACCACCCACAATTAGCACAATATTGTCCGATTTGGGTGTCGCACCCTCACGGTTTTGTTCTCCCTTGAGGAAAAGGCCTCATGCTAGTTGGAGGGAGTAGTCAGCTTTATAAGATGGGCCGTAAACCCCTCACAGAGCGATGTGGGACACACCTACAGAGCTTCCCAGCAGACTGGCTCCCGAAGAAGGGAGGGGTTCCCAAAGACGGTGCCATTGAAGCGAAGCAACCACCCACAACTAGCACAATACTATCCGCTTTGGGTGCCGCGCCCTCACGGTTTTGTTCTCCCTTGAGGAAAAGACCTCATGGTAGTTGGAGGGAGTAGTCAGCTTTATAAGAAGGGTTGTAAACCCCTCACGGAGTGATGTGGGGGGCATCTACAGTATGTGTAGCAGCGTAATAAGTAACCTGGTCACACCAACTATTTGCAACAAAAAACATATAACAAATTCAGTTGCTATAATTGGCTGACTAATAAATAATAACTATTACTCTTGAGCAAGTGCTATACAACAAAGGATTATCAATTAGACGTATTAAATACATCAAGCTAATTTCCTCTTAGCTTTGCATTAGCTTGATGTGGCAAACTACATAAAGAATTTGCAAGTTGGGCAACCCCTTTAGACGTGGCGCAGTTCTGCAGGGTAAATTCAAAACTCAGAAGCCTAACAATTTGAGGTGGTTGCATATAACAACAGTATACCATGGATATAGATATAGTAACAGTTTCTGCAATAAAAATAACAAAATAAAAAAGCTCTTTGCTGAGTCAGAGCAATTGAAATGGCTCATCGAGACAAAATGCTAATAGTGTTGTCTTTAAAACTGCTCTACTGTTTTTTTTTTTTTTCAGCATTTTTTCATATTCCCACAGTGAGTGCAAAATCACAACCATGCAAGGTTTTGAAAAGCGGTTGCGGTCGCTGTAACGGTGGCGGTGCCGCGGTTGCGGTTGCGGGGTGTAAAGGCCGTAGCGTAACGGTTGCGGTAACCGGAACCGTGAATTTTTTTATTTTTCGCACAATTTGAAAAAAACTTACCGATACGCATATTTTTTTTTCATAATCATATTTATTGGGTTTTAAAATAAATATTGATCAATTTTTATAAATTTTTAAGTATGATTCAATATATTTCATATTTTTAAATCATTATAAACTGAGTTTTTTACATTTTATTTTACTAATTAATGACTTTATATGTCATAAATCCATATTACACTTGTGGTAAAAAAAAAATTATTGGAGTTAGACGTATAAATTTATTTTTTAATTATTATACTTGTAGAAGCATATACAAATTTTAACTTGAATAGTTTTTAAAAAATAAATTAGACATGCTAATATAATCATATAAAAATTAAAAAATAAATTATAAAGAATTTTTTTTGGGGGAGTTTGGATCAGTTGAATATTCATTCTCTTTTTAGATAACCTGTAAATAAAAATAAAATAAACTAATAAAAATTGACATGTGTAAAATATCTATTAATATATAATTATGGGTGTTATGTTTTCTAGATATTTTATAAAAAAATCAATCACTAATTATTATATATAAGATAAACCAAGACAAAAGTAAGAGAATAAATAAGAGTCTAAATATATATATATATATATTTTAATCAAGCCAAATCGATAATGACCACATTATTATTATGATTTTCAAATAATATATAGATAGATACATACAAACAAAATGGTTGACTGATAGTAGCTGAATAGAATATCATAGGTCTTACAGCTTCAACAAATCAATAACATATTATTCATCTTCCCTCTTCTCTCTCTATCCCCTTTTCCCTATTTTCAGTTTTTTTATTTTTTATTTTTTATTTTTTTTAAAGAAACAGTTCGGAACCGTTACGTAACGGTACGTAACAGGCCGTTACGGCCGTTACGGCACCGTTACGACCGTTATAGCGGCCGCTACGGCCAACACACCTGTGAATCTCAATCACACTGCAAAAGCGGCCGTAACGGGTGGCGGTAACCACCAAAACCGTTATGTAACGGCGTTACGTAACGGTTGCGGCCGCTTTTTAAAACCTTGCAACCATGGCACTACTGCCAGCTGTATTGATCTGTTGTAATTAAACTCAAAAAACTAAGGAGTACTTACATGTAGGTCCTAATAAGTGGACTTATTGTTTAATAGGTCCTATGAAGAAAAAAATTCATGAAAAAACGTCATTAATTGTAAGTTTTAAAGACAATTTATAAAAATCATGACCAAAAAAAGTCACTAATTGTCAATTTTTAGCGACATATAAAAAATTGTTACAAAAAAATTATTTTAACGACAGTTTTACCAAGACTTCTTTTCAATAGGACTTGATGGGAATTAAGTCCAACTATTAGGACCTATTGGTAGTTTACCCAAAAACCGAGGGAGTTACATATAGGCATTAATAGGTGGACTTATTATCCAGTAGGTCCTATGATAATTAATGGCATTTTTCGTCAAACACTATTAAAAAACGTCACTAATTGTTAATTTCAGCGACAGTTTGAAAAGTTTGTTACAAAAAATCACTAATTATAAGTTTTAGCAACAATTTAAAAAAATCATCACAAAAAAAGTCGCTAATTTTTAACTTTCAATGACAATTTGAAAAATTCATCTTAGAAAAACGTCACTAAGTGTAAGTTTTAGTGAGAATTTATAAAAATTGTGATTAAAAAAAATGTCACCAATTGTCAATTTCTATGGACATATGAAAAAAAGGTCCCAAAAAATTATTTTTAGCGACAATTTTACGATTTATTTTCAATAGGACTTTATGGGAATTAAAATTTAACTATTAGGACTTATTGGTAGTTTACTCATAAATGAATCTAAACCACACATTAAATTTTTTGTTCACTTTTAAATTTTCGTTAATGAAGCATGTTATGAGAAAACATAAATACAACAGGACAAAACAAGGAATATTCCAAATGAATAAGATTTTTATGAAAATATCTTTATAAAAAAATAAAATCCAACTCTCATTCATATTTTTTTTATTTTGGTAAAAAAAAAAGGATGTGCAAATAAGCTACTCCACACATCCACCAGGGCACATTGCCCCTTAATACCCACAGACATCTTCCAAAACCAACACCGCACTAACATGGGGGCCAAAACTGAGATTTCAGAGCATGTTTGATTGGAAGGATTAAAGCATGGGATTGGGATTATTAATCCGTGGGCCCAATTATCCTATGTTTGTTTTGACATTTTGGTTTAGGATTATTAATCTAATGGATAATTAATCCAACAAATTTGTAGGATTATTAGTAATGGGGTAGGGGTGGGATAGTTAATACCACACTAATTTGATAGGATTATTAATACCTCACTATTATTGTGAATCAAACATGACCTCAGTGTACTCTGAGCATTAAGAAGTACGGGTAACCAACAATCCAGATAAAGAAAAAAATTGGATAATTTACAAGAATAAATGACGGAGTAAATAAAACTAGTAAATTAACAACAAATCACACAAACAATTGCTCACTCCAAAGTTTCAGTAACTACCTTCACGCTAACAAGACGGGGAAGATCAGTAGTGGCCTTCATCACAGCCTGCAAAACAGAAAGATTGAATCTCATTCACATATATTTGCACATACAAAAATGCACTGTATATCTATACTATACTGTTATATACGTGAGCACTGAACTTACGCTGTATTTGGTTAGGGAATTTGGAAAGGGATTTGAAAATGAAAAGAAAAAAATATGAAAAATTATATAAAATATAAGTATATTTTATTCACGTTTCACCGATCTTTTCTCTTTCCTTTTTCAATCTCTTTCCAAATCTCCCAACCAAACACTGTAGTATCCAAGCCTCCAAACCTTCTCCACATGCCAAGTGGCAGATTTTTATATGCTAAAGTAAAAAACTTATTATAATACTAGTGGTGACACACACGATGTGTGTGCAATTTAAATAAGTAGGAATAAAAAAAAATAATAATGAAATTAATAATATAATGTGTACATAGCTTAAGTGGTATGAGTCCTCATACTTAAACCCATGGTCATAGGTTCAAGCCTTGGCCATCTCTTTGTTTAATTTTTTTTTAAAAATAAAAAATACTGCCACATGTCATGACAAGAGTAAAGCTTCAGGACAACATAAGAGTTTGTGTTCACTTAGATAGATAGATAGATAACCCTAAGACGTTGAATTTCATTAAGAATGTAACTTAAATATTATGATATTAATTTTTTTATTATTTACTTTTATTTTTAATTATCTGAATTGCACAAGTATATATCCGAGAAGTTTTCAATAATTTGATGAAGATGAAGTCGGAATGAGCAATACCAGCGAAGTGATAGTAGATGAAGGATTTCTTGAATGGGCGTGGAAGCTTTGCAGAGGCAAAGCAGAGGAGGATCTGGAAATGGAAAACGCCGAAAGATTTTAGAGAGATTGAAGAGTTTTTATGTTGAAAATGTAATAGAACATGAGATTCGAAACAGTAAATGGAAATTGTGAATGAGTGAGAGTACCTGGGAATATAGTGAAGACCATTCATCTGAACTAAACCGACAATCAAGTCTCAAAGTACCTGGTAGAGAGAGAGAGAGAGAGAGAGAGAGAGATGAGCAAGGATTTTTTTGCAGTACGCTTGCGCTTTCCAAATGATTTTTTTTTTTTTAAATTGATTTTATATTCGAGGCCTTTAATTACAAAGGGTTCACTTTTTTTCTTTTTTCTTTTTTTTGGATATTTTCAAAATTTGATTCCTATTTTGGGATTCACTTTTTAGGAAATTAAAATTTTTTATTTTTATTAAATTTTTTAAATAATTTTTTTAATTTTTAATTACACCTAACATATATATACTTAAAAAGTATAATATCTGTAAAAAAAATCTTTAAAAAATTTATTAAATATTGAAAATACAAAAATAAAATGAGAATTCAATACTTTTTTTATATTTTTGTATATTTATTGATTTTTTATAAATATTTTACTTTTTAGATATATCTAAATAAGATACATCTAAAAAAGTAAAAAAAAAAATTCTTAGAATTTTAAAATATTTACTAAAAATTAAAAAATAAACACAAAAAATAAAAACTCAATTTCTAAAAAATTGAATTCTAAAAATTGAAACCAAACACACTGATGCCATTCACCTGGTTTTAAAAAATTGAAATAATTTTTTTAAAAATTTAGTTTTTTATTTTTTATTTTTTGTATTTAGGTTTCGTTTGTTCTGACGTAAAATATCTTATATAAAAAAATTCTTGTAAATTGATTTTACACAGAAAAAAAAAATTTGTTTTTTGTTTTTGTTTTTTTGGAAACAAAAATATTTTATTGCCCAAAAGATAAATTTTGATTCAATAAAATATCATTTATAACTTTTTAGTGAGTTAAGATATTTATTTGAAAAAATAAAAATGTGTCGAAAAGGTAGTGAGTGAGAGTCAACTTTGTAAAAATTGATTTACAGAAATTTTAAAAGTAAGTCATTTTTAAAAAAAAATAATGCAAAACTATTTACCTTAAAAAATGTTTTACTTGCTTTTTGTTCAACCAAACAACAAAAGTAAAATATATTTTATAAAAATAAACGAGAAATTTTAATATTTTAAGAAATATTTTTATTTTTTAGATGCACCTAACCTAAATACACTTAAAAAATATTTTAAAAATTCAGTACATTTTCATATTCTTGTATATTTATTGAATTTTTTAAATATTTTTCATAATTAGTTTACATTTTAGGTAGATCTAAGTTACATACATTTAGAAAGTAAAAAAATTACTTAAAATATTTTTAAAAATCTACTTAAAAAAAAATCTCAATTTTCAAAAAATTAATCAAAATCAAAAAATAAATTATTTTTTGCCCCTAGGCAATGCGACATAATATTTATTGGTTAAAATAATAAGATTTAGTACTTTTTATTGTGTTTTTTTGAATAACTTAACAGTTATCAAGTAATAAATGATATAAAATAATATTCCAAAATCATCAAATAATCACTTCTTTTACAGGCCTGTTTTGGATTATCATTTATGTTTATACATTTTTCAAATTCCCACCCTATTGTCATTGCTTAAAAAAAAAATCCATTTAAGTTTAAAATTTTATGAGGCCTAAGAATAATATAAAATCACTTTTTCAAAATTATAACTTCATTTAAAAAACAACAATGCTACATAATCCAAAAAAACACAACCCTCACTTACCTGTAATTGGTCAAAAAAAAAAAAAAAAAACAAAGCAAATGTTTGATCCACATCATTGTAAGAGTCTCTAATTTTGGGAGCCCCAAGCATTTTTGTTTAAAAAATTTCTAACAACCTGCGATAAGGCTTTTCAAAAAATAATATTGCCAAACCTTGTGCTATAAGCCCTCGTTTAGAAAGTGAACTATTTTAACAGGTTATTTAAATTTTTTACTCTTTTAGTAAGTTTAAATTTTTGTATTTGAAAAGATAGTTGAATTTTTTGATAGTTGGAGGTGATATTTGTGAGAGAAAAAATAAAATGGTTATAAATCTGATGTGATATTTTGTCTTATTAATTATTTTAATTTATTTTATTTTTTTATAAATTTTAACTATAAAAAAATAAAAAACAATAAAACAAAAACAAAAAGGCCTAGCTCAGCTCTTTGATCTGGTTGGCTGGGTGTGAGATATCCAGCACGCAAAAAACATTAGTTTGGATGTACCAAAATAGCACTTATACCATTAAAGCGACATTAGTTAAAAGTGACATTTTGACACTAAAATATGTAAAATTATAACTTTAACATTGTCATTTTATATAATAGATTGAACATGATGTTGTAATTCTTGGTTAACGACTTTGTAAGAAATTTCATTTTTGTAGTAAACAAACTTGTTTTTGTTTATAAATAAGATTTGTTTTGAGCATATTGATTTCATGTTCCTGTAGAGAAAATAGAGATTTGAAAACTATGTCATGATTAATAAGGGTAGTCGAAATAACCTTCATTTGTGACAATAAAAGGTGCAATCATGGTTAAAAAAGGAGTTTCAAAGATAATTAATTGAGACATGTTTTAACTAATAAGAATTCAATATTAAGACATACAACTTGGTTGCAAATTTGTGCATGAGATATTTTATAATTAAATTTCCATTGAGCCACCATTAGCAATGCTAAGAGATTGATCAATTTTCTCAAAATATTTGAAAGGTACAAGACCTTCTCGAATACAATTAAGATCAGTACCAAAGTCAACTAGCGCCATTGTAGTTAGGACGAAATCATGAATTACCACTTTAATTTCAATATACCATTTTTGAAATGTGATGCTATTAAGGAGTAAATTGACAGAATCATTAACAAGTGGTTTTTTGTCAAGTAGTTTATTGGATGATTCTTGCAAATGTAGTTCATAAGAGAATGTCGTATCAGTCAGGAAATCATATGTATCGGCGGGATTCTCTTCTAGGGCTAAAACTCTAAATTGGAGATTTTGGATATCAATCTTAAGAGTACGAATTTCATTTTGTAAATCTTGAATTGTGGGTGTGTTTAATGGAGTAGGAACTTTGTTGACTCGATCAAAGACATCTTTGAAATCATATGTATCTGTGTGTGCTATTTTCTGACCACACTACCAAATAGGTACTCAGCTGGAGAACACTAGCAGAATAGATTGCACCTGAACGACCTGTCACAGAAAGATGAGACTCCGGCGGAGGTTTGTCCACCCGGGGGTACTCCGATGATCAAGTCAGTACTCAATTATCTCCCAAAGATAGCAAATAGTGCTTTAACTCACTAGCCAGGAAAACAAAAAGCGTACCTTAGACCCACGGGGGAATATTTGTGAGAGAAAAAATAAAATAATTATAAATTTAATGTGATATTTTATCTTATTAATTATTTTAATTTTTTTTTTTTTTATAAATTTTAACTATAAAAAAATAATAAATAATAAAACAAAACAAAAAGGCCTAGCTCAGCTCTTTGATCTGGTTGGCTGGGTGTGAGATATCCAGCACGCAAAAAACATTAGTTTGGATGTACCAAAATAGCACTTATACCATTAAAGCGACATTAGTTAAAAATGACATTTTGACACTAAAATTTGTAAAATTATAACTTTAACATTGTCATTTTACATAATAGATTGAACATGATGTTGTAATTCTTGGTTAACGACTTTGTAAGAAATTTCATTTTTGTAGTTAAACAAACTTGTTTTTGTTTACAAATAAGATTTGTTTTGAGCGTATTGATTTCATGTTCTTGTAGAGAAAATAGGAATTTGAAAACTATGTCATAATTAATAAGGATAGTCGAAATACTTTCATTTGTGACAATAAAAGGTGCAATCATGGTTAGAAAAGGAGTTTCTAAGATAATTAATTGAGACATGTTTTAACTAATAAGAATTCAGAATTAAGACATACACCTTGGTTGCAAATTTGTGCATGAGATATTTTATAATTAATTTCCATTGAGCCACCATTAGCAGGGCTAAGAGATTGATCAATTTTCTCAAAATATTTGAAAGGTACAAGACCTTCTCAGATACAATTGAGATCAGTACCAAAGTCAACTAGCGCCATTGTGGTTAGGATGAAATCATGAATTACCACTTTAATTTCAATATACCATTTTTGAAATGTGATGCTATTAAGGAATAAATTGACAGAATCATTAACAAGTGGTTTTTTGTTAAGTAGTTTATTGGATGATTCTTGCAAATGTGGTTCATAAGAGAATGTCGTATCAGCCAGGAAATCATATGTACCGGCGGGATTCTCTTCTAGGGCTAAAACTCTAAATTGGAGATTTTGGATATCAATCTTAAGAGTACGAATTTCATTTTGTAAATCTTGAATTGTGGGTGTGTTTAATGGAGTAGGAACTTTGTTGACTCGATCAAAGACATCTTTGAAATCATATGTATCTGTGTGTGCTATTTTCTGACCACACTACCAAATAGGTACTCAGCTGGAGAACACTAGCAGAATAGATTGCACCTGAACGACCTGTCACAGAAAGATGAGACTCCGGCGGAGGTTTGTCCACCCGGGGGTACTCCGATGATCAAGTCAGTACTCAATTATCTCCCAAAGATAGCAAATAGTGCTTTAACTCACTAGCCAGGAAAACAAAAAGCGTACCTTAGACCCACGGGGGCGCTTTCTTTTATAGCTTGCACTAACCTGGTCCTCGTAGAAGCCTAACTTCAATGGACTCTGGCTCAATGCCTATCTTGGACTCCCAGTTAGATAGAGATAAACTCTCTAAAAGTTTTATCTTTATTTAGGCTGAGGTCCTCCTTCATTCTAGGACTCTTATCCCTTATCTGTTCATCTCAGATCCGGTATCTTCGCAAGTAACATCAGCCTATCCGAGATCACCTCGACACCAAGACCAGGACACGTGGCACCTCGGCTGGCACTTTGGTGCCACCTTGGCCACGTGTTGTTATTCAAAAAATATGCCCTAACAACTGCCTCCTAGGTTCTATTGCCTCGGCATCTTTGAAATGATGGAACCGATATCATTCGGCCATATAACACGTCGGCTAAGCTCGCTTTATCCTTCATTACCAAGGTTTTCTCACATCAGCTCCATATGACCCAGACTTTAGTGTGTCTTGTCAATGCCTTAGAACCAAAAGCCAAGTTTTTCAAGTTCTT